ACTGGGGCCTCAGTCAATTATTTCTCCTGTTTGATGACCTTCTTCTGAGTTGTTTTATGGTGACTCTACAAAAGTAAGCTAGTTAACAAATTAATTAATTATTGTATGGCATTGTGTGTAGAATAGTCAGGAGATCCTAAGATTGTCTGGCATTTCCTGCCCGTGTGACTGGGGCCTCAGTCAATTATTTCTCCTGTTTGATGACCTTCTTCTGAGTTGTTTTATGGTGACTCTACAAAAGTAAGCTAGTTAACAAATTAATTAATTATTGTATGGCATTGTGTGTAGAATAGTCAGGAGATCCTAAGATTGTCTGGCAGTGAAAAGTTCTAGTTCTTTAGTGTTATGCATCACTAGGTGATGAGCTAGACTTGTTTTTTATGGCAAGAGACATTGCAGAGGTGGTTTGCCATTGCCTGCCTTTGCATCATGACCCTGGTATTCCTTGGAGGTCGCCCTTCCAAATACTAGCCAAGGACAGCCATGCTTAGTGTCCATGATCTGACATGATCTAGACATTGTGGGTATTTCAGAAACTTGGTGGGATGAGGAAAATCAGTGGGATACGGTGATTCCCGGTTATATATTATATCGGAAGGATAGGGGGGGAAGGGTTGGAGGTGGGGTGGCTCTGTATGTCAGAGAGGGTATAAAGTCCAGAAAGATCGAGAGGCTAAGAGAATTGGATTCGCTTCTTGAAGTTCTGTGGGTTGAAATAGGGGGGCCAAAAGGAAACTTAACACTGGGAGTTTGTTATCGCCCACCGGATCAAAAGATAGAGGAGGATTATAAAATGATGAATGAATTAAAGATAGCAGCTAGACAAAAACACTGTGTCGTAATAGGTGATTTTAACTACCCACACATTGATTGGGTCAATATGTGTTCTAGTCGAGAGAAAGAGATTGAGTTTCTAGACACTCTAAATGACTGTGCTATGGAGCAGATGGTCATGGAACCTACCAGGGGAGAGGCGATCCTTGATTTGGTCCTAAGTAACACTCAAGACCTGGTGAGAGATGTAAAAGTGATTGCACCGCTTGGGAACAGTGATCATAATGTTGTTGAGTTCAACATTTGTACAAATAGGGAATTGGCCAAAAAGACTCACACAACCACTTTTAACTTTAAAAGGGGTAATTTTTCTGATATGAGGGGACATGTGGGGAGGAAACTGAAGGGAAAAGTAGAAAGGGTCAAAACCATTGGGGAAGCTTGGAAACTGTTTAAAACTACAATTCTAGAAGCTCAAATAAAATATATTCCGCAGGTTAGGAAAGGCACAAACAGGTATAAGAAAAAGCCTACATGGTTAACAAACAAAGTAATGGAAGCTGTAAAAGGTAAAAAGGATTCCTTTAAGCGGTGGAAAGCTAGTCACAGTGAGGCTGATAAAACAGAACACAGGCTATGGCAAATAAAATGCAAGTCTGTGGTCAGGCATGCAAAAAGGGAATATGAGGAGCATATAGCAAAAAATGTAAAGACCAACAATAAAACTTTCTTCAAATACATTAGAAACAGGAAACCAGCCAGGGAGGCAGTGGGGCCCTTGGATGACCAAGGGGTAAAAGGAGTACTGAAGGATGATAGGGAAATGGCTGAGAAGCTAAATGCATTTTTTGCCTCCGTCTTCACTGTGGAAGATGAGAGGTGCTTGCCCACTCCAGAGCCGCTGAGTTCGGGAGGGGTGTTGAAAGACCTGAGTCAGATTGAGGTGACGAGAGAGGAGGTCCTAAAACTGATAAACAACTTAAAAACTGATAAATCACCAGGCCCAGATGGCATACATCCAAGAGTTCTGAAAGAACTCAATTGTGAACTTGTGGATCTCCTGACAAAAATATGTAATCTCTCCTTAAAATCAGCCTCCATTCCTGAGGACTGGAAGGTAGCTAATGTCACTCCCATCTTTAAAAAGGGTTCCAGAGGAGATCCGGGAAATTACAGGCCAGTCAGTCTGACGTCGATACCGGGTAAATTGGTGGAAACCATTATTAAGGAAAGAATTAGTAGGCACATAGATGAACAAAACCTATTGAGGCAGACTCAACATGGGTTCTGTAAGGGAAGATCTTGTCTCACTAACCTGTTAATGTTCTTTGAGGGGGTGAACAAACATGTGGACAAGGGGGATCCAATAGATATTGTTTACCTTGACTTCCAGAAAGCTTTTGATAAAGTTCCTCATCAAAGGCTCCTAAGCAAGCTCAAAAATCATGGGATAAAAGGACAAGTCCTTTTATGGATCAAAAACTGGCTAATTAATAGAAAACAGAGAGTGAGTATAAATGGGCAGTTCTCCCAGTGGAGGGGTGTAAGCAGTGGGGTACCACAGGGATCAGTACTTGGTCCACTGCTTTTTAACTTGTTCATTAATGATTTGGAGTTGGGAGTAAGCAGTGAAGTGGCTAAATTTGCGGATGATACGAAGTTGTTCAGGGTGGTGAAAACCAGTGAGGATTGTGAGGCACTCCAAAGGGATCTGTCAAAGTTGGGCGAGTGGGCGTCAACATGGCAAATGGGGTTCAATGTGGCCAAGTGCAAGGTGATGCACATTGGAGCCAAAAATCCTAACTATAAATACACGTTGATGGGGTCTGAACTGGCAGAGACAGATCAAGAGAGAGATCTTGGAGTTGTAGTAGATAACTCACTGAAAATGTCGAGACAGTGTGTGACTGCAATAAAGAAGGCCAATGCTATGCTGGGGATTATTAGGAAGGGTATTGTAAACAGATCAGCCAATATCATAATGCCGCTATATAAATCAATGGTGCGACCTCATCTGGAATACTGTGTGCAATTCTGGTCACCACACCTTAAAAAGGATATTATAGCTTTGGAAAAAGTGCAGAAAAGAGCAACTCGAATGATAAAAGGGTTGGAACACTTTCCCTATGAGGAACGGTTAAGGCGCTTAGGGCTCTTTAGCTTGGAGAAACGACGACTGAGGGGTGACATGATTGAGGTTTATAAGATTATGCATGGGAAAGAGCAGGTAGAGAAAGAGGTACTTTTCTCCCTTTCTCACAATACAAGAACCCGTGGGCACTCCATGAAATTGCTGAGCGGTCGGGTTAGAACGGATAAAAGGAAGTACTTCTTCACCCAAAGAGTGATTAACACTTGGAATTCACTGCCACAGGAAGTGGTGGGTGCTACAAGCATGGACGGCTTCAAAAGGGAATTAGATAAGCATATGGAGCAGAGGTCCATCAGTGGCTATTAGCCACAAGGTATAGATAGGGACTCTGGGGCAAGTGATGCTCTGTCATCTTGGTGCTTGGGGGGGGTCAACAGTGGGAGGGCTTCTAATGTCCTGGCCCCACTGGTGGACCTCCTGATGGCACTGGTATTTCTGGCCACTGTGGGATACAGAGTGTTGGACTGGATGGGCCTTTGGCCTGATCCAACATTGGCATCTCTTATGTTCTTATGTTCTTATGTTCTTAAGATTGGGCTAGCCTGGGCTACCCAGGTCCTAGCTAGTCAGTAACAAAATGTGCATTATGAATGGGCTTGGGGTTAGGAAAGGTCGGAACTTCTTAAAGAGACAGTCAGGCAGCAAATGGGTGGGATTTGCTGGGCTATAGATTACTCTCCTATGGCTTACTCTATTAGAAATACAGTTTTATGGCACTGGCACATCCTAAGGGATGTTACAGGATGCGAGAACAAAGAATATTAAAGATCTGTTAATACGGGCGGACCTTAAGCCATTAGAAGTCATTAACAATTCTCCAAAAGGACACTATAAGTGTCGTAGATGCATGGCTTGTGCAAACTGTTGGGAAACAAAGGTTCTAGATTTCCCTGAAGTTCATTTCAGAAGTAAAATTTCATTATATTCTTCTTGCTCCACCAAACGAGTAGTGTATCTTTGGATATGTCCTTGTGGCTTGAAATATGTTGCAGAATCTATACGCTCCATTAAGACACGTGTCTTGGAACACAATCTAGAATCAAACATCATTATACAGCAGCAGGGGTCGTTTCGTAGAAAAAGAGCTAGGGGAACTCATTAGCATAACTCATTAGCATATGCCACACCCCCTGCTATCACTGGAAGTGTGTCATAAGGCCACACCCCCTGACATCACCGGAAGTGTGTCATAAGGCCACACACTCTGCTCCCAACGGTCCCAGCCGCTGGCGGCGGCCTTGCAGCTCCACTGCTGAGCCCCATGAGGGGCCCGGCGGTGGACCTGCAAGGCTGGCGGGAGTGCAAGGAAGCCCTGCGAAGGCCCTCCCTGGCCCCAGGCAGGCAGGGGTGGGGAGAGGCAGGGAGGAAGCAACTTACCCTCCCTCTTCTCCTGCCTCCTCCTGGCTGAATGAGGGCCGGAAGCGGGGCGGCCGGAAGCAGGGGGCGGGGCTTCGTCATGTGCCCCGCCCCCATACCTCACCTGGGGGAACTGTGATCCCCCGCGTTCCCCCCCGAAATGACCTCTGTACAGCAGCACTGCTTGTTCAGCATTATATATCTAAGGGCCACAGGTATGATGATTTTAGATTCTTGGTTTTGGAAGTATTTAAGAGTAAGCAACATTCCAGACAGGATATTCATAAGAGCTTGCTGCGCAGAGAGGCATATGTTGAATACATGTCACCCGCGTGGCTTAAATGCATCTGTGGACTTATCATGTTATTTGTAAACTTGAGTAGTTTTCGGTTTCTGGAGGTATCTTAGTCTATAGAGGGCAATTCCTGTACTTAGAAATGGAATTTTCTATAAAAGTTGTAATATCAATATAGGTAATGAGTTTTTTAAAAATCCTTTAGGTGTAAGAGTTTCAGAATATTTGACATTATGATGTGTTATATGTATATAATTTGGATAATGAAGCATACCTGTTAAGGCATTCCACATCTTTGTATTTTGCCCGAAAAGAATGTTTTCATGTGAACTTATGAGCATGGTTTGGTGAGTGATTTGTGGAATTAAAGTGTTTGTGGAATTAAGGAAAACACTTTAACCCTTTCTTATCATTTTATTTCAGTTTCTCCAAAGATATTTCATATCTCAAGTGACATTGTGGTGAATGAAGGAAGCAACATCACACTTGCTTGCTTGGCATCAGGGAAACCAGACCCTTCCATTTCTTGGAGACACATCTCTCCATCAGGTAAGGTCAACCGTGTTGTTCACCTTTCATAGAACTTTTGTTGTTGTATTTAGAAACAAGTCTTGCAAAATTCCAAGAATCAGATTACTAGAAAGAAATATAATGCTGGCACCTAGGAGTTTAAAATGTTCTTTGGAACTTAATTAAAGTTAGTAATTGAATCATACTAAATGTATACTGATGGTGAGTCAGGTCAGTAGACTAAAAATTAGCTATTGGCTTTGGATTCTTTATGAACGTCAAAGGGTTTTCAACATAACATTTGAATTCCAAAACTTTTTCTTTACTACTTCCCTCTTCTTCTCTTGCCTGCCTTTGCTCTTCTGCAAGAGTCCAAACAGCAGAAATAACATGACAGTCAATCTCAGACCTTTTGCTTGGGCACATACCCCGATTGCACAGGACTTTGGGGTTGGGAGTAGAGGGCATAAGTGCCCAAGGAGAAGGACCACGGAGGATTGTTGTAGGTCTTGCTGCTAACCAGTGTGTTGAATCTTGGGGAGTCAAGGAAGGCATAGTAATGTTAATATCAAGCCTCTTCTCCTTTTAGCTCCCTTTGTTGCTAGGATTGTAAGAAAAATTGCTATGTTATTTCCCTTGATCCTTCCCTTCAATCTGTAGGCTGGGTTCTTCCCAGACAGCTGTGGCCATTCCTTAACAGTCTGCCACTGCTGCCATCCCATAGCTGAAGTTGAGAAGGAATAGAAAGTGGAAGGCAGAGGATAGGAGGACAGTGAGTGGTTGTTCCATGGTACCTCATGGCAGAACCTGGGAGGATAAGAGGGTAATGGTGCCATTGCTGTTACTCATCATCCTCACTAGGTTCTGCAGCTTCCAAACTATGAGGATGCTGACTTCTGGCCTGTTTACTTTTGTTTAGAAAAGATACACATGAAATGGCTAGTAGTTTTCACTCTAAATTGCAATGTAATGTAAGTTCATGTAATGGTGAGTTTTCACACTCATTCCTTGTTACCCATTTCTTTCGTTTGCCTATTTTTTCTTGGTAACATCTGTGTTCTCTTCATCTCCTTTGATATTTAGAGTGACTTGTTTATGTTGCTATATGACTATCTGTGCACTTCAATATTGTATGTATTAGTATTGCTGCAGTTAATATCAAATTACCTTTGCATTCATCTCTACTATGTTAAGGTACAGAACTGGCTATTGCAAAGCAGCTTATTCAGGTTTGTGGACTTTTTTTAGATGAACCAGATGTGGTTTGTAGGTGGGAGAACCACAACCTAGTATGCCTGAAAGTAATGCTAATCAGCACTTTGCTTTATAGAGAAAGACTTGAAAGAATTACTAATAGTGACCTTTAAAAGAGCAACAATTAAACCTTTTTAAGTGACCACCCAGGGAGTAGAAAAATCAGTTATATCATAAAGGTGGTCTTTAACTAAATGTCAAACAAAATTGTGTTGGGAACCTTGGGGAGTCTTCAAAGTGGAGCCTAGGATAGGCACTCGCCTAATGGCAACATAGGACCTTGAGTTTCATTGATAAAATGGCATTAGCAGTACCCTACTGCCACCTTGCAACTTCCGTACAAAAGGGAAAAGATGAGATTTCTTCCCATAACTTATCCTATGACAAATTCAGTACAGTATTCAAGGTTTTCTCCCAGATAAAAGTCAATTAAGTGACTGCAAACTCATTGGATCAAGAGTTAATATCTGAATGGCTCAGTCCCGTGAGACGTTATTCTTTGATAATCGATGTCACAGCTTGAATTTATCCACACTGCATTAGGGTTAGTTCCACAGAGGATCCATTCAGCAGAGGAAAATACAGATAAAAATGTTAGTCTCAGAGTACAAAATCCACTAGGGTTTTTCAGGAAACCTCAACAAGTAGGAGGCTTGATTCCTGAGCATACATTTGCATTCTAAAACATCTGTTCATGCATAGATATACTTGAATAAAAGAGTCATTTGGCACTAAATGCAAGTTAAGGTCTTATTAGTGCTGAATGGTGCTGGACAAAGATGAAAATAGTCCTGGAACTGTACTGTTTCAGGATTCGGGGGAAGGGCTGGAATATGTATGAATGATTTTTTAAAAAAATAAAAATCCTTTAACAGATAGCAAGGATATTGGGAAGAAGGGTTAAAGGTTCTTTTTGGCATACCAGCATTCTACATGCAGGGGGTTCTCCACTGGGGAATCAAAGTGGCTTGCAAAGAAGCAGAAAAAAATATAATTTAGACAAACAAATGGGGGAAAAAACTAGTGAGTCCCAGGAGAAACTAACCATGTGTCAGTCATAATTAGGGATGTGCATTCGGTTCGTCCGAACTGAATGCACCCCCGAAAATGGCCCATTCGGACCCCTTTCAGGCTGCTGCAGGCTGATTCAGATTCTCTGATCTGAATCGGCTTGCCGCTGAATTGCCGCCGAATTTCGGCGGCAATTCGGCCCCTTATATCCTATGGGCCATTGAAGTCAATGGTGAAAACATAGCATATATTCTGGGAGTTTGAGGGAGAGGCTCCATACCCGCAGGGTAGCTGCTGGAGCCTCTCCCCAAGATACCAACCAAGTTTGAAGAAGATTGGACCAGGGGGTCCAATTCTATGGGCCCCCAAACAGGTTGCCCCTATCCCCTCCATTGTTCTCTATGGTGGGGGGAAAAGTAACTTTTTCCCCACCTAGAGAACAATGGAGGGGATAGGGGCAACCTGTTTGGGGCCCCGTAGAATTGGACCCCCTGGTCCAATGCTCTTGAAACTTGGTTGGTATCTTGGGGAGAGGCTCCAGCAGCTCGGAGTCTCTCCCTCAAGCCCCCTCCCTCTCCAGCCCCCAGAATATATGCTATGCTTTTGCCATTGACTTCAATGGCCCATAGGATATAATGGGGCTGAAATTGACATTTGGCTGGCCGAAAGACTCCAGAATCAGCTCCTACTGATGACACTGACATGCGGGAGTCTTACTGCCAGCCGAAATTGATTCTGCCCGATTCGGCCGAATCCGAATGGGCCGAATATTTTTTTTGCACACCCCTAGTCATAATACTATAGAAATGGAAAGGGCCAGAAGGCCACCAAGTTTAATTTCACCCTGGGGTTTGATACCTGCTCTCTGAAGCATTCCAAACAGATATTTGTTCAAAAATGGAGGTCAAAACAGAGAAATTTCCCAGCATCTTTTATAGCTGAATTACTGCCATGTCAGGTCCTGATTTGGATATGGGCCATCTGATGAAAGGAGAAGTGATTTGATCCTTCCACTGTGAACTGGAACTGGGTTTGTCAATGTTTATAGATTGTAGAAATGGACAAATGTATGGCACTAAAAGTATGTGAATTTGCACACACTGATTGTGTATTTCCAGACACAGTGATGATTGGGGCACTTTATACGAGCAAATTCTGTGCCATGCATTTAATATATTGCAACTTCTTATAAATAAATAAATAAATGAAAATGCGCTGTTTAGAAGAAATTAGACCTTCCGTGCAGCTGTTAGCCATCTAAAGCTGCCTGTCCCTTATTTGTCTCCCCCCCACCTCTTTAAAAGGCTCTAACAACATGGGGGGGCAGTTTTGCTTTCATGACACTATGCACAGTATGAAGGGTCAAACACCTTATCAGTATGGCTCTAATTCAAATCAGTTCTCATCCCCAGTTTGAATTTAGTTTTAAAAGATGATGGGAAAGTCTCATCATGGAGCTCATTTGTTTTGACCCTTATACTGAAAGCCTGCAATGCTTGCATGTCTTTGTTGTTGCAAAATCACCCTTCTGTGAACTCTACCCTTCACTGGTAAAGCTGACACAATACCATTTGTATTGCACTGGTGGGTACACTGAACTCCACTCTCCAACTGAGTTGTCGCCAACCTTCATTTCTCTGTTCTGTGCACAAAAATTGACAGTTTATTTTGCTTCCAGATCTCTAGAAAAATATAGCACGTCTCTATTCTATTTGGAGTTTTCCTAATTAGGAGGAATGAGTATTGCAGACTTTAATTCCCTTGTCCTTCCTTCCTTCCTTCCTTCCTTCCTTCCTTCCTTCCTTCCTTCCTTCCGAGTGGAACTGTAGTTGCATAGGGGCATAACAAAGAAGGGATTAATAGGGGAAATACATTACCTCTGATTTCTAAACCAGTTCCAAAAATTTTGCTTTTGCCCCCTAGCTTATTTAGTGGCAAACTACACATTATATGCTATGCATACAATATAATCTTTTAAATGGGATTTGGGATGAAAACGGTTTGCCATATAAAGACCCCTCCTTCTGAACTTGCTTTGCAATCTAAAGTCCCCTTGCCCTGCAGTAGCCTGGCTCTGTAAAAATAAATGCTCACAAGGAACCCTTACACATATTAGTGAGTGATGTGTAATGGGTTCCATAGTTTCCTTAAAGAGGGGAGGGAAAGTAGATTCTTCAGATGAAAGATGGATGCAGTCTACCTGTAAAACTGAATGCTGGTCCCTGGACAAAGGCAACCCCTAAAGATGGAATTTGGTGGGTAAGGGGCAGATACAGCAATGAAAAGTGAGGCCCAGTGTTAAAGGGCCTGAGGTCCCTGACTATAAATGTATTTATCTAAGGTGTGCTTATAAGTCCCCTGCTACCAGGCAATACCATCTACATATGATACCAGCCAAAACAGGCTACATCATACAACTGTATCACAAGGATGAACCAAGAATTAAAATTATATGCACAGCCAGGGCCAGCTCGCGAACTAGGCGAACTAGGCATTTGCCTAGAACAGGCCAGCCATTAGGGGCACCAAACTGCACCTGCCCCCCACCAAAAGCCCCCCCGCCGCCAAAAGCTCTGCATGCATCTAGTCGCTGACTGGGGGACCACCGCCACCGCCTCTTTCACCCTGAGTCTGGAGCCAAGTGCACCCAGAAGCAGGCAGGGAAGGAAGCAAGGAGGGAGGAAGCGCCCCCCTGCTGCGCTCGGGGCCTGTCCTGAGGCGCAGGTGGCCTACAGGGTGGGGAGGAGGCGGATGGCGCCGCCTCAAGGGCCCAG